AAGAAACACAGAAATATTCTTACTGGGATCAGAGATTTTGCATGCTTGTTTTTACAATATTCACTTTGATCAAAACAGGATTATAGATTTTTAATGTTTTTTAGTTTTCTTTAACCTAATGGAGTTACTTCCTTCCTAACATTGTTTTTCCAACATAAACAATATAAAATACAGTCATTGTCATTATCCATAATCTCTTCTCTTTGTGTTTGGATTAGTACATTTGGACTAGTCCATTAATTAACGAAGGGCAACCAACCATAACCTTTGTTGTTTTAGCGCGTCTAACTTTTGGGACGTCTAACTTTTGGGAGGATACCTAACATAATTATGTTACCTTTTCATTACGCAATGCTGCTAGAGTGGAAGGAGAAACCTCTCTAGTGGTCATGAACTCAATGATCTCGTCAACACTCAATGTGGGTGTAATACCAAGGGTACTTCATGAATGCATATCTCACGTTAAGTTGAACTGAACGTTTCTTTGGAATGTGAAAGGTGTAATGCTTACATGGCATTACACATATCTATTTGTATAATGTAAGGGACTCACCTTATGGAAATACAGTACATCGTTGCTATCATCGTCTTCTTGTGAATAATGCTCCTGCTGCAACCACTTCTGCCCTTTTTATAAGCACCATAATCTAATTAGATGAAACTATAATCTAATTAGATGAAACTATAATCTACTTAGATAAAACTATAATCTACTTAGATAAAACCGTAATCTAATTAGATGAAACTATAATCTAATTAGATGAAACTATAATCTACTTAGATAAAACTGTTATCTAATTAGATAAAACTATCATCTAATAAGATACAATTATCATCTAATTAGTTAAAACTTTCATGTAATTAGATGAAATTATCATTTACTTAGATGAAAATAAAATTTAATTAGATGAAAATAAAATCTAATTAGAACATGTATATATTCATCTAATTAGTTTGTAAGTAATGTATAATTAATGAAACTATTATCTAGTTACATAAAACTATCATATAAATAGATGAAACTATCAACTAATTACATGAAACTATCAACTAATTACATGATAATAAAATGTAATTAGATGAAACTATGATCTAATTATAAATTCTGTATATTGTTCCCACTGCTGGCAGCAATGCGCTTCAAAACTATGCATATTGTTTCCATTGGTAAGTAGAAAACTCCCGCAAAACTCCCAATTTACATAACATTTACGACGATAAACAACGTATTTTATCTTTTGAGTAAAGCTTCAGCAATGTTGTGTTTCTCTATCGACGAATGTAACTATCGGTAAATCAATGGCGTTTGCGGTCAAAGGGAAGTAACTCGCTTTCATTCGGAGATAACCCGTCTTAGATCGTCGTCTCGGCTGTCGGCAGTGAAGTTGATTGTTGCTGTCGGTGTCTCCTGATCATCGGCGTTCCAAGAGTGGTGTCAACATGCACGTGCAGACGTGAAATACGAACCCTTGGGTGAAGACGAGGCCATCGCTGTGACGTTCAAGTGTTGCCATGGCAACCAGATCACTACGTTTAACTTTTACTCTCAGGTATATACAGTGTGATCTAGTTTCACATTTGCAAAACAGATTTCATTGATCACATATGTCATTGAACTATAAGTTTCCGTTTCCTGTCCGTTTATTATGTAGACCCAACTGTTATTTTAATAAACCTACGGGTAATCATGTTTCTATCTGCCAACCTCCAAATAACTGTCATTATAATCCTGAATTGTATAACAAGAAAATGTGTTTTTTATCAGCCAGCAAACTGCCTGTGCTGAGGTGTTCTTTCCCCCATGGATGTACTAAAACCTATAGTCCATCCCCAAGTATGTCATCGGGTGGTTTGGGGCGGTGGGGTAACCTAGTGGTTAAAGCGTTCGCTCGTCACGACGTAGACCCGGGTTCGATTCCCCATATGGGCACATTGTGTAAAGCCCATTTCTGGTGTCCCCCCGCAGTGATATTGCTGGAATACTGCTAATAGCGGCGTAAAACCCAACTTACTCACTCATCACCTTTGGTATAACCGTCGTAGCGCCGAGGGGACGATGTGGCAGCCTAATGGGTTAAAATGGGGCCTAGTGGTTGTTGCGTTCGCTCATCACGCCGAAAACCCGGGTTCGATTCTCCACATGGGTACAACGTGTAAAGAGGCCATTTCTGGTGTCCGCCCCCCATGATATTGCTACAAGCGGGGTAAAACCAAACTCACTCACTCATAATATCCGGAATAATAATTGCTGGAATATTGCTTAAAACGCCATTAAACTAAACTCATTCATTCATTCACTAGTTTGGGAAAACCTCTTCAAAATGAATCCATTCAATATATTAAAACATATTTGGTTATTGCAGCATGCAGCAATATCGTGACCAACTTGTACCCATGTTATTCTCGGCGACAGCGAACGCTTTAACCACTCGGCTACCCGACCTTAACGCACGTATCCACTGGAAGGATTTCATATTGGCTGACGGTGCGTTGAACATCAGAACTACTTGAAACAAGAACGATAACTCTATCCCTGTTTGATTCCAATGTTTCTTCGGGAAAAATCACAGAAGCACATATACATTGTATTGTTGTTGTTTTGGGGTTTTATTTACTTATTTATTTTAAAGAATTAAACCCTTTGATACAACTAAAAGGAGGAAAACATATTTGTTAAAGACATATTCTAATGTAATTATTACCAGCTGTTCACTTTATATTTCCAATTATGTTAATTTTCTAAAAAGGGTTTAATCATCACAAATTGGAATTGTTTTATTGAATATACCCAAAAAAAAATTTCAGCTACATTAAATCCCAAAGCAGATACTCAAAAATGACTTTAACATATTTCTCAAACTGAAGATTCGTGTTACCTTGCTGTCACACCCCAGGTGGAATTTCAAATGAAATCGCTGAAAAAAATATGAATGACCTAAAACAGACTAAAATATCCCCAGAGCTATTAAATATAAGCCCAATGTTAAAGATTAAGGTTGATTAGTTACATACAAATACGATATTATTGTTTTGAAACTCGTAGCGATTATAATTACATTTCCTAAAATTGGTTGAAGCGCACGTACAATCTCCATAACAAGCCCCGCAAGATCGTCAGAAATACACTCAGTTGGACCCATGACAGCAGTTATGTCAACAAACGCACGTGCGTATATTTGAACCTCTCGCCGTCAATCGCATGATTCTTATTAAAAACTTCATGATAGGCAGCAAAATCCTTTTAGCTACGTTCTTTGTACTTTCAATATGACGATATATATTTTTCATGATTCTTTAAACAATGACATAATGTCATAAACGATTTAAGTACTCGGGATTATTTTTATCAAAGCACCGCGCTCATTTACGCGCGTTCTGATTGGTTTGTCGTATTTTCGCGCATAACAAGTATCGAGTGGGGGACGAGTCTTCTTGGAGGTTACGGAAAGGGGCGGGTAGTGACGAATGGGGTAAGAACTGATCTTCAGTAACCCATGCTTGTCGTAAAAGGCGAGTAACGGGATCGGGTGGTCAGGCTCGCTGTTTTTGTTGACACATGTCATTGTATCCAAATTACTTAGACCGATACTCGTGATGTTGATCACTGGATTGTCTGGTCCAGACTCGATTATTTACAGACCATAGCTGGAATATTGTTGAGTGCGGCGTAAAACTAAACTCACTCACTGTCCCTTTGGGGTCACCAGGTGTGCCAAGTCGCGACCATTGTATCTCTGCAAGCATGGTACTGGGAAACCGGTGATCGAAGTTAATTTCAGTCTTGGATTCAAACCCACGATCCGCTCACCCCATTATATCGGGATACGGTGATTTCGTAGACTGAACCAGTTCGTAGACACGCTGGATTCGTAACCCAGACTGGTTCGTAGACGGTGATTTCGTAGACGTGTATCAATAATTGAATTATAGTATTTATTAAGTTTGATTTTTACTTAGAGTGTGTATAACGAAGTTGTTATGCTTTGTTTTCAGTGATACGAAGCTAAGGGCAGATAAGGACAAGAAAGTGTGATTGAAGAATGATCTCTTCTTACCTTCTTGAGGTTTATATACCATAAGTGTTTGTACAGGTAAACTTTGTCGGCGGATCAGACAAAATTAGTCTACTCATCATAATTTCCCGACTGTTTTCATTGTTGTGGGAGGATTAACAGGTTTCATTGAGTTGTTGTGAATGTTACTTAGGAAGTGGTGAGATCAACATTCATTCTATGCAACGCGGCAACTCCAGATATTTAAGACAGACACTTAAGAAACAGTTCATATGATCAATATATAAAGTCGGACACGCATTCATCTATGAGTGAGTGAGTTAGTTTTATGGCTCTTTAGGTCAATCTGTAGCTGTTGATCACTAGATTGTCTGGTCCAGACTCGATTATTTACAGACCTGGGCCTAGATTTTCGAAGCTCTCCTTAGCGCTAAGATAGTCGTAAGTGCCATACATTAACATTAACTTACGGCCATCATAGCGCTAAGAGCTTCTAAAATCTAGGGTCGGCACCATATAGCTGGAACATTGCTGAGCGCGGCGTAAACAACAAATTTTAACAAATAAACAAACCAAAAGACAAAAGCGTGACTCGCAAAGGAATACGTTTGTCATAATTCATTCCATCCCCACCAAAATCAATGTTGGCGCCCTTTAAGGTTGTTTTTTTCCGCACACGCGAGCGCACGCACGTACGCACGCATGCACGCGCACGCCCCCTCAAGTATGAATGCAAAAACATACTGAAGTCATCTGATCATAAATGAATCATATTGATTCAATGTCTGTATCAATTCATGAATGCAGAAAGAAATTCTACATCTTCAATTATATGATAAGTTGATATTTATACCAAAGACAAATCGATACATTCGGTAATTTATTGCACTAAACAGATAAAAATAAACATAATGCAGTAACGGTCTAAGGGAAGTAACTGCTTAGCTTAGAGATATAGGCGTTTTAACCAATGATAATCGTCGTTGGCCTTCACTCCGTAAGAGTAGGACAAAAACAAGGGCAGCCATAACTTCCTATGCTCTGACAGGGACCTCCAATATTTTCGGTAAACCGCAGACATGGGCTTCGAAACATGTGGTCCAAACGAGGTGATGGTTGTGTCAGGTCAGTCCAATGTTTCTTACAGTTTCACAGCAATTTTGCATGGTTTTAGTTCCGTTTTTACCAAAACAAGCACCTGTGGTTTGCGCAACACCCGCCCGGATTTCTGCAAATACTACGGCACAATATGCTGAAGCGTCGCTCATTAGATTACACGTTTGTTTACATTACTGCTATCTTGACACCACATCGGAATATCTTAAGTTTTTTTCGACGCACCAATCATCTCCGTTGTAGTATTTATCGTATTTGTGTGAAAAGCGTTGTGATCTATCGACTTCCAGGGAACCTCCCGAGATGAATCCTTGACATTCCTCTCGCATAGTTCAGAAATTCTCGTATTTCACACTATACGTGAGAACGTCAACAGGTCATGATGTAAACAAACAAGAAGATACACATGTCGCGTACTGTCACATACTTTTCATACTTGTTTAGGTTATTAATTTATGAATGTTTATTGATGCAACTGTAATTTTTGTGCCTCGCATACGTCTGATCGCTGTACGATATTGCGAAATCACCGTGTTTAAGTTCCCCATTCGCCCTATTGCGAAATACGCTGTGTATTGTATGTATCTATTGAAACGTGAATGTTGTAATGCATATGATGAATATCGTCAGTGTTTGAATATATTTCTGTATTCTTTCTTTTTAAGAAATATATTCACGATTGGCTATTGAGAATCAAAGGAAGGTAACTCTGTGTAAATGATGCACTTAGAGAATGATTTATTGGTGCACTTGCATTCGGAATTACTTGGATCAGAGTCTGAGTGTACAAGTGCAGTTTGATTAGTGTGGTTCATGTACGTCTTGAAGGTACACATATTACACACTGGAGAGAAATACCTTGTATTTATCATGTTTATTGTATGAATCCATAAGAAATGTACTTTTTCTCAACATGCACAAGTCAAGTGGATGACTGCATGGAAAATTATGATCATATAAATATGCATTAATTGCATATTATGACTGACAAATCAACCTAAACAGTGCCAAATTAAACATGTTGAAAAGCTTGCTTGTCATGCTTATAGCATTATGAAATAATGAAAAAGAACTAGGGCAAGTGCAACTACTTATCCTAATTTTGTAGAGCATATTTATAATTACCTGAATTTCTCGAAACTGTACTATATTTATGACACATAAAAGTATTCCTATTAGTGTGTTTGCAGACTTAGACACAAATACATATTTGTTAGAAGTGAACTCAATAATTTAACATGTATATAGCTGTCTACCTATGAAGATCTGTATTAGCATTGGTCTTCAGCAACCTATGCTTGTGGTAAGAGGCGACTATCAGGATCTTGTGGTCATGATCGCTGACTTGGTTGACACATGTCATCATATCCCAACTGCTTAGATTGATGCTCACTGGATTATCTGGTCCAGACTCGATTGTTTACATGCTTCCGCCATATGGCTGGAATATTGTTGACTGTAGCTTTAAGCAACAAACAAAAGTGATGTAACTGAAATACCGTTTAGAGAGGCATCAGTCTTGACTCAATCAGTACATGTATGAGTAGAATCATGTGTTTTATAATATTGTCATCTTTCAGGATGCTGTCACAGCCGGTCGGTGTTTGTGCCTGGCGGTCGTGTGTTCGTCTGGCCTGGCATCCAGAGACTGCAGAGGTAGGTATTTCTATTTTACTAGGCATGACCTGCTCATTGTGAACTATGGCTTGATGAATATAAGTCCGATATCTCATGTATGTGTGATAAGGAAGTGCTTCCTCTAAATCAGAGGGGCGGTGGGGTAGCCTGATGGTTAAAGCGTTCCCTCGCCACACCCAAGATCTGGGTTTAATTCCCCACATGGGTACAATGTATGAAGCCCATTTCTGGTGTCCACTGCCATGATATTGCTGGAATATTGCTAAAAGCGGCCTTAAACCACACTCACTGACTCTAAACAGAGGATACATGGACAGTCTAATCCAAAGGGTGTTAGCCGTGGATATGATTTGTTCATGGGAATGATAACTGTGATCTGTCATTGTGACCGTATAATCGGCAATTCCTAACATATATTCAGCTGTTGGGAGAGTCAATGGACCATGCCTCAGTCATGTCAGTGCCGGTTCTGGGGCCAAAACCAGTGTGAAGATCCTGGTTAGAATTGGTCTTCAGCAACCCATGCTTGTCGTAAGAGGCGACTAAAGGGATCGGGTGGTCAGGCTTGCTAACATGGTTGACACATGACATCGTATCCAAATTGCGTAGGACGATGCTCGTGATGTCAGTCACGTCAGCATGTCTGGTCCAGACTGAATTGAATTATCTATTTATCGTCGCCATTTAGCTTGAATATTGCTGAGTTGCGTTAACATACAAACAAATAGCCAGGACCTAATACGTTCAGGAATTTTATGCTTGTTGACAAATGAGTTCATTGCGGATAATGTTGAACATTGTGTGACCAATGTTCATCCACCCAAAGGCGTGGATGATTTGTCATGGTATGAAGGCATATTGTGAAGTTATTATCACTTTGGCTGGAATATGGCTGATTGCGGTGTAAAACTCTCACAGTCTTTTTATGTTTGAGTCAGCAGAAGTCTGTTTAATTCATGTACTTATTTTCATCAATGATGCATGTTTATTGTTATTTTGATTGTTTGGACTAAGTTAGATGTAGAACTATGTAATGTAACACCTTTTAATGTCATACAGATTCAACTGCTACTCATTACAAGGTGTTTTTGTCACTTTTGAAAACTGGTCTTTTTGAAGATTATGTATTGGAAAGCTTTCAATAGTTTGAACATTTTGGCTATTTGGTTCAAAATGTTTTTATTACATGTACATGTTAAACAAATATTCCAATGTACAGAAGACCTGGGGATGTTTGGCATTGGTAGTTTGGTACTAGCGTCAAACCATCTCTGAGAGTTGTAAGGCTAGTACTGTAAAAAGATAAAGAATTCAAAGATTATAAGTCCAAATTAATTATATTTCGGAACATATGTGACTATTATGAGCTTCTAATGCTGATTTTAATGTGCATTGTTCGGCAAGTTTTTCCAAACCGTGTTCAATGCAGAACCGTGAAGATCTGGGTTAGACTTAGAGCGTCTTTGGCAACCCATGCATGTCATAAGAGGCGACTAACAGGATCAAATAGTCAGGCTCGCTGACTTGATTGATGCATGTCATTGTATACCAATTGCATAGATTGATGCTCATGATGTCAATCACTGGATTGTCTGGTCCTGCTCGATTATTTACAGACCGTTGTCATATAGCTGGAATATTGCTGAGTGCAGCGGTTGAACAACAAACAAACAAAAACTTTTGTGCGCATGTCAGTAATATTTTCGCTTTCTCCCCCGCGTGACTCAGAATGAGTCTGAATACCCTGACTCTCACTATTGAGAGTCCCCAGGTCTACACCAAGCATGGAGTCGCTATCTCAGTCACAGGGATAGCGCAAGTAAGTTGATGTCGCAGGACTCAGCAGCAGCAGCAGCATCATTGTTGTGTCCCTACTGCTCAATTTTATGTTTTACCCATCCCTGGTTCCTTACCTTCAACTAACAGACATCACAATTTCACATAAACTAAGACTGGTAATCTGTTGATCATAGTTTAAAATGCTAAATGGCTTCTTTGTCTGCAGAGATAATCTTTCAGATCTAACCAGAAAAATATGTAAATGTAAAGCATTAATCCATCGGTAAAATTAGTTGTTATTTAGCACTTCTTTATTGCACATATTCCAGTTCCTCTCTTAAATTTTTAACATGGAAAAAAGCCATTATTCTGAAAATGACAATTAATTTTGCTATCCTAATGATCGCTAGTGTGTGTGTCATGAATCACATGGTTTGCGAAACATTTCCAATCCTGTCTTTGATTGTTTAGCATGTTCAGTTTTAGTAAATCTGATGTGTGTTGGTTGAAGGTAAAGGGAGAGCTTGACATTTATTTTGCATGTTTTTATATACAATGCTTGTTTGTACTGCTCCCTGAGGTTGTAACATTGATAATATGTGATGGGTGATATTTGAAGTGGCATAAGGAGAAAAATTGCAATATAAGGAGAATATTCGATGTCAAAGTGGTAGAGATTTGACCTAAAACCTTGAACAGTGTCTTTTTCTGCTCATTTTATATCAATTTGCAATAAACACCTCAACAAGCAACGTGGAAGAGGAGTGCTGTTCCAGGTCATGCAGGGAGCACTTTCTTGTATAAACTGTTTCAAATTTCCTGAAGCAGTTTTTGAAATATCATTAAACAGTTGCACATGGATGTATTTCGCAACCCTTTGGTTGTATCCTGTTTTATCAAGACCACTACCACCCACACATATGTCAATGCTTAAACATTGTAGCTATAGCAAGGCAGGCTGCACCAGTTGAGACAGTAGCACATTGGTGGATGAGTGGTGTCTAGCATGCTGACATGGGGTGTGGCGACTTGCTGTTGTAGTGGGGCACGTCCATGGTTGGAACATGTACATACAGGGGTGGATATAACTTTAAAATTGCTAGTGTACTCCGGTACAGTGGCACATGTAAAGTCACTTGCCCTGATAATTTTTCCACTATACCGGCCGTTTTCTCGTTGATTTTTTAAATAAACCACATAATAAATATTGGAAAGTCAACTGGACACCAGTACAGTGTGATATACAAATTTGCTTGCCCGGCAGAAAAAAACACTGGACTGGCGTCGGGCAATGGGTTATTTCCACCCCTGACATAGTCAACCAGTATGACATTGCACTTTGAGGGCGTGGCAGTTACATGCATAGCACAATACCAGGAGTTTCCTAAATTGGCATTTAGTCCCAGAGATAAAGCTATATTATATATATTCTATATTAAAATATAGAAAAATATCATTATTAAAAATATAGAAAAACTATTTATCTACAAATATCCAAATGGAGCCCAGAACAATTAAATTTCTGGAGCTAGGGCCATCTAGACTTGCCAAAACATTCTAGACTTGAGTAGGGTTCACAACACTGCATTTACCCAATTTAGACACTTCAGCTTTCGTTCACAGATATTTTCTGTATCTATTGATTGAATGCAGGCAGGATCTTAACAGAGCTCCAGATAATATTTAGCTCATGTGGGTACTGTACCCACTGTATTATTTTGGAGTGGGTATTATGAATGTTGAGTGGGTATTTCATTTTCCGTTACCCACTGCTTTCAAACGTGCGTATTTCAGTCATTTTACTCACCTAAGTATTATGTGACTGAGTAATTTTACTAAGCAGATATGTTCTGCCTTATGACTATGTCATACCTAATCAAAACCAACTTAAATATAATGGAAATGAGTTCATAAAAAATCACTCATCCTAAATGGACAGTACAGCACTTGTCCTATACTAACAGTACAACTTGAGATAGCAATCAATGTCTTTTTCATTACGCAAGCGATTTTTATAAATATATTCTGTACGCATTTGTTTTAAACTTTTTGCGTATCTAACATTTTAAATGCGTAATTGGTATGCAACAATTATTTTTCAATGCGTAATTGGAAATTTTATATGTGTATTTTACCCGGATACGCAGCTTATCTGGGCCTCTGATCTTAATATATACCCTTCTGCTGTAAATAGCACAAAAATGCTATGTCTTGCATAGTGAACATCTATCATGATGTATCACTCAGTGTCTATTGTGAGATTATACAACATCTACACATTTAGGGCAGAATGTGAATAGAAGAAAATTACCAGAAACTGCTGAAGTATTTAAAACATGTGTCATTGATTTAATGAGCCATGATGGGGTTAACGCAGGGTATTATAATTAGTTGTATAAGCTTTACAACATAGTTTTTTTTAATCTTTACCTCCCTCTTTAGGAAGAGAAAAATGTATAATTGAAGAGACTAACTCTGCTGGTTAAAGAAGGTTGCTCCTGAGTGACCTGGGCGGAGGGTTAGCCTAGTGGTTAAAGTGTTGGCTTATCACGCTAAAGAACTGGGATCGATTCCCCACATGCGTACAATGTGTGAAGCCTATTTCTGGCGTCCCCTGTCGTGATATTGCTGGAATATTGCTAAAAGTGGCATAAAACTCACTCACTCACTCCAAAGTGACCTGTAATGGGTCTTCAGGTCATTGCTTAACGAGAACTGAGATCTGATTTTAATGGTGAGGTGTTTGTACACTGTAGACTGAAAAGCAGCATGAATTCTGCCATCTAATATATCTCCTGGTATTGTTGCCAAGCATGTGGCTTCCATGTTCCGTCGTTTCTTGTTGTTTGTAGACTTTTTTAGACAGCTGCCCTTTTTGCTGGTTATCCCTCAAGACAATCACACTGGATATTGAGAGCATTATTTACACTCAACTGAGTCCCAGATGTAGCACGTGAGGCAAGTCGTAGAGTGTTATTAGAAAACAAAGATAGGTGATCATGTTGACTTTTTTCAGATTATCCCTCAATACAATCACTCTGGTAATAGAGAGCCCCAATGTTTACTCTCAACTCGGAGTGGCAGTTTCAGTCACAGGTATAGCACAGGTGAGGTCAGAGTGGAGTGCAATTTATTTATAGTCAGGTGATAATGATTTTCTTTTTTTCAGATTAATTCCTCGATACATTCATACTGATTATTTAGAGACCTCATTTTTACATTCAACTTGGAGTGGTTTCAGTCACAGGTATAGCACAGGCGAGGTTAGAGAGGAAGCAAATTACTTTATGGTCAGGTGATAATATTCTTTTTCAGATTATTTCCTCAATACACTCATATTAATTATTGAGAGCCCTAACTTTCACACTCAACTTGGAGTGGCGGTTTCAGTCACAGGTATAGCACAGGTGAGACAAGAGAGGAATGCAATTAGCTAACAGTCAGGTGATCCTGTATTTTCAGATTATCCCTCAATACAATCACTCTGGTAATAGAGAGCCCCAATGTTTACACTCAACTCGGAGTGGCGGTTTCAGTCACAGGTATAGCACAGGTGAGGTCAGAGCGGAGTGCAATTTATTTATAGTCAGGTGATAATGATTTTCTTTTTTTTCAGATTAATTCCTCAATACATTCATACTGATTATTTAGAGACCTCATTTTTACATTCAACTTGGAGTGGTTTCAGTCACAGGTATAGCACAGGCGAGGTTAGAGAGGAAGCAAATTACTTTATGGTCAGGTGATAATATTCTTTTTCAGATTATTTCCTCAATACACTCATATTAATTATTGAGAGCCCTAACTTTCACACTCAACTTGGAGTGGCGGTTTCAGTCACAGGTATAGCACAGGTGAGACAAGAGAGGAATGCAATTAGCTAACAGTCAGGTGATCCTGTATTTTCAGATTATCCCTCAATACACTCACTCTGGTAATAGAGAGCCCCAATGTTTACACTCAACTCGGAGTGGGCATTTCAGTCACAGGTATTGCACAGGTGAGGATTAGCGCAGGTAGACTCCGGAGCACATTTAGCGAAAGGTCAGATGATCATGTTCACTGTTTCAGATTGTCCTTCAATACCATGACTTTGACAATTGAGAGTCTAAATGTTTACACCCAACTTGGTGTTGCTATATCAGTGACAGGTATAGCGCAGGTAACACTCCCTAACCCTAGGGATCTCACAGTGCTGGTCAAATAATGTCGTATATATAACTGTCCCTTGAGTCTAACCCAAGTAAACTGTCTTAATCCACTTCAACATTTATTGTATGAACTGGTGGGGTGGGGTAGCCTAGTGTTTAAAGCGTTCGCTCGTCAAGCCAAAGGCCTGGGTTCGATTCCCCACATGGGTACAATGTGTGAAGCCCATTTGTGGTGTCCCTGTTGTGATATTGGGGGAATATTGCTAAAATTGGCGTAAAACCCAACTCACTTACTCACTCTTTGATATTTTAACATTGCACTATAAGAGTGTATTCATTGCAGTAACATATGTTTTAGCATTAACATATTTTCGTTCGTATTTGTCCTATTGTCTGTGAAATATAAGTCATCTCCATAATGATGTAACATTGTTTATGACTTCTATACATGTATTGATGGTGATTTATATTGGAGGATTTTTTTTATCAATCTGGGAATTTTTTTATGACATTTGTGCAGACTTTTGTATTCTGAATAGTTCAAGATATTCTGGAAACTTTATGCGATTATATCAAAATACTTAAAATTGCACTAAACAAACATTTAAACTTTATTTGTGGGAAATGGTACAGAATATAAACATAATTTGGGTAGGTTGTTTGGAGCTATTGTTCCAAGGACAAAGAAATACAATCATGGATACCTCCGCTTCTGGTGGATAAAATACCCGTCTAGATTTTGTCTGTAGAGAAGTTAGACCTAGACATTGTTCGTTAGTGCTGTAGATGTTAGAACTGACTGTGAGATCCTTGGACTTTGAACAGATGTGGTGTCATTAATGGTGTATCTTTACATGCAGGTTTTGAAGTCAATTCAATAATAACATGA